TATCTACTATTATATATATATATATATATATATATAATATTTTTAAAACCAGTTTGAATAAAAATAAATATGTTTACAATATTAATACAATAAAATAAATATAATTAAATACATGTATATTGATTATAATAAGCAGTAGCAATTAAAATGTATAAATAAAAGAGATAAATTATAATGTATAAAATTGTAAATCAAATTTGGAATTTTTTACAAACACAAACATAGGTCAACTCCACAAATCAAAATTGTAAATTTAAAGAAGTGAAAACCAAGAAAAAAAAAAGAAGGGTGAAAAAATCACATGATAACTTGAAATACCTAGTCAAAAAGCTAAATATCCTTCACCTTGAAGAATAACAAAGATAACCAACAATAAGGGATAAAAAAAAAATAAATCTAAGTAAACAAAACTCTCAAATCAATTTTATTTTGATGGAGAAACAAGTGTGGGTTGCTTCTTGGAGGACATAAATTTTGGTATCTTCAAATTAATTTTGTGTAACAATCAAACAATACAACTATCCAATTCAGACCCACTAAAATGGATCATGGGTGACATGAAATTACATGGACGTTTAGACATCTTCAAAAGTTATTATAACTAAAAATATCGAATTTTAGGCTTTAAAAAAATCCATTAAACCGAATAGTTTGACTTATTTAAAATATAAAAATAATATTATATGTTATATAAATATATTAATTTATGATTAATATTTATATTTAATATATCTAGTTATTAATAGTAATATTTTAATATTTATGCTTAATAGTTTTTATATTTGTTGTAAAACATTCAAGTTCGTATAACTACTCATATTATTCAAACTACCTAAACTTCTTACCACCGTGTCAATTCATGTGAATTTCTGATAACAATAAGATCAATGTATATTAATTTATATATGTATCGTAATAATATTTAATGTTAAGGAATAAAAATTAACAAATATTAAATATCAATGGTAAATATATATTAATAATACAACTTAATTAATACAAGCTAATGATATTAACATTTGTAATATATTAATAATATTCAATAATAATGAAATAAATAAATTAATATAATATTAATAATAGAAATTCATAAATACATGAAAATAATGTCAAAATTAATATTATTGAATAAAAATTTAAATGTTAAATTATTAATATATAGTACTAATATTTAATGCTAATGAATAAAAATTCACAAATATATAATATTAATATTAACTAATAATAATATAAATTAATAAATATATCCCAGTATAATTAAAAATAGTGTCAATGAATTAATATTGGAAAACACAAATTATTAAATATAAATAAGTATATATTTATTAATTATTAATAATTATCTAGTAATTTATATTAATATATACTAATTTATATTTACTAACTTAATTTATATTTGTTAATATTGATTTAGTAATATATACTCATAGCAAAATATTAGTAATTATAAATTAATAAATATTCTAATATATTCCTCAGAATATTATTTTAATCAGTTTAAAATAATAAAATAATATTTTTAATATATATAAAATTTATACAAATACTAATGAGCTCTATTTCAATTGATTGAGTAGAGTATATAAATATTTTTAGGTACCAAATTCATTTTTCATAAATAAACAAAAATATTATGATACAAATTAATTTATAACTATTGATATTTTCTTTTGAAAACAGTGAAATTTAATTTTGAAATAACGAAAATTTTACATTAAAAGATATAAACAAGTTAATAAAAATTTCTAAAAATATTTCTTGAAGCAAAATAGCTGAAATTGCTATTATCATTGAAAAATTATGAAAATAATCTCTAAAAACAATTTTGTTGAGAATATTTACTCTAAGTTATATAATATAAAATCATATTTTAATAAAAATATTTATTTATATAATATTAAATCAAAAGTTTCAATATTTGAAAAAAAAAAAATGTTTTCCCAAATAGAGCCGGAGACCCGGAGTTGGTATGTTGGGCTTTAATTTACTACCTGCTGCCTCCGTCATCCACAACTAACCTCTTGCTTTAGATTCATAATTTTTCTTCTTGTATATATATTATTAAATGCTAATCTAAAAATAGTACTCTTTGTATTCGTAATGTATTTTTACAAAAATACAAAATAAAATAAAAGTGAGTATATAATAATAAAAGAATATAAGCAGTTTTTGATTAGTTATAATTATAAGGTATTTAAAAAAATTATAAAAAAATAATAATTTGGGTAGCTATGAAAATAAAATTCTAAAAAACACATGTATATTGAATGGGATCATTTTATGTATTAATTGTATAAATATTACTCTTGTAACATCGTGGATTTTATTAATTATTGTTGAGTGTATTAAAATATATTCTTATATTGATTTGTTGAGAAATTCTAAAAATTTAGAAATTCTTAGAAATTTTAGTTGTTTAGAAGTTTTTTTAAGTTGAGATCAAGTTCGACCTCTAGAAGAGGTATATAAGATCAATTTCTTAAGAAAGTTTGAGAGTATTTAGAATCTTGAGAGTTTTTTTTCTCTTTCTAATTCCTTGTTGAGTGCTCAGATTTTTTGGAATATAACTGATTTGTTGTGTTAAGATTCAAGGTGTTGGAGAATCAAAATTCCAGTTGTAGTTACCTTGCAGAGTTGGTCGGGAGACTCCATATGCTCATCCTCTTCTTTTCTGATTTGATTCTTAAAGGTAGGGAACGTTAATATTAAATT